AATATGGTTATAAAAAAAATAATTTTTTTTTTTTTTTTTTTTTTTAATTTATTTCATCTAATATATTTTTTGAGTAATTTATTTTACTTCTTTTAATATTGTACTGTTGATTATATGATATGGATTTTATTTTATTTTTTTTTCTATTTTTAATATTATTGTTTTTTTTATTTTTAACAATAGTTTTTTTTGTTGCAACATCAGTTTTTATTTTCTCATTAGACTTGTTTTGATTTAACTTAGACATTTTTTCATTTCTCTCTTTCATAGAATTAATTAGGGAAGATAAGAGAACATAATTTTCATTTTTTTTATTATTATCATTATTTTTATTTTCTAATTTATTATCATCTTCGCTTTCACTAAAAAAAGTTTTTTCTAATGCAAACATTCCTTTTTTACTAATATAAGATATATTTTGTTGATCATCTTGAATTATATTTCTATTATATACCTGATTTGAATTTTTTTCTTTTGATTCCGTTTTTTCTTCTTGACAAATTTTTTGAAAATATAAATTAGGCAAAATTATTGAATCTTTATAATTTTCATTGTTTATTTTTTTATTATTCATATAATACTTAATGGGAGTAATCTCTTCTCTCATGTTATTATTTGTTGTATCATTTTGAATATAATTTAAATAAAAATGAGAATTTGGCTTTTTCATATTAGTTTTAGTAATAATTTCAAATAAAGTTTCTATGTTTTCTGATATTATATTTGATAATGGAACAATATTATTTTTTAAACTAGATATAGAAGATGGCATATTTAAAATAATTGATATAATATTATGAATATTAATTATATTGTCAGGAGACTCATCAACTTTTTTTGATAATTTTTCCCTCCATATTAATATATTATTTATTAAATTATCAGAACAAATAGAATTATAAGAGTTTTTTATAATTTTTTTAATTTGTTCGCTTGTTTTGATAATATCACACACATCTGTTATTTCATGTTTCGTTAAACATACAGTATTACTATCAACAAATACTTTTTTTATAATTTCATCTCCATATTTTTTTTCATGTTCTGAGAGATCATAAAATTTTATTTTTTCAAAATTAACATAAATGTTCTTTTTGTTTATAATGTCATTATCACATATAGTATTATCACCTATACTATCTTCATTATTTATTATATTTTTTTTATCATTGAAATCTTTCATATTTATTATTTCATTTATATTAGTATTTTCTGTAGTAATTATTTTTCTATTATAATTATTTAAATCTTCTTGTTTAAAATTAGTATCCACTTCGTTTTTGTAATTATTAAATATGTAATTAAAATATAAATCCGTTTTCACATAATCAAATAAATAATACAAATAATGAAATGTGTTTCTCAAAATATTAATAATATCTGGTGTTAGTGGTCTAGTTAAAAAATTAGAATAAGAACGAATATTGTTCATACTCACATTGAAGTAATTATAAACTAAATTAGATAGGGAATTTTTTAAATTTAAGTAATTTGAACAAATTAAAATATCAATAACATTAACTAAATAAACAGAAAAGTCTCTCTGCAAAAACAATATAACATTCTTTGAATCATAAGTAATTTTCAAAATTTTTGAATCTGTTGTTATTTCATTTAATAAAAATATATCTTCAAACATATTAAAAACATCTATTATATAATCAACATCCTTTGTTCCTATTAAAATTAAAGAAGTGAAACCACGATATGAATTTTTATAATTTATTTTAACCATTATTGAAATTTTATCATATTCTAATTTAATAATTTTTATTAACTTTATTAAATCGTCTTTATTATCTATTATTTCATATTTCTTTTCATTTATTCCTAATGGAACTGTTAATTCATACTTTACATTTAAGAACTTTAAAATATCTTTATCACTTTTTTTATATAACTCAATCATATTATTGATTTCATACTCATATGGATTTCTTAAATTATTAAATCTATAATAATATTTGTTTATATCTTTGTGTAATTTATTTAACATTTTACTAAAAAACTCTTCATCCATAATGCCATTATATTTTAAAATAGAAGAACTTTCTAAACTACAATTTGAATTTATATGATCGTTTTCTTCTTTTTTTATTTTAAGTATTTCATTTATCTCATTATCATTGAATATTTTATCAATAATTTCACTACTATTATATTTTAATTCATTATTTCTAAAACATTCTTTATAATGTAATAGTAATTTTTTTTTTTCAATATAATATTCTTGAATTTTTACTGCTTCTATTAATATTTCATCTAAATCTATTAATTTATTATATTTAAAAAGGATACGAGGAATAAAAAATTTTGCATAATTATTTGTTAAATGAATCCATGAATTTTGAATTTTGTATAAATTATCTTTAAATGTTAAAATATCTTTTTTTTTTATATAATCTTTTTCTTTCTTGTTTTTTTTGGCAAGCATATTTTTATTTTTTTTTGAATTTTTATCTATGTTTTTTTTTACACTTTCAAAATTTTTTTTTAAATTATTTTTGTAACAATTTTCCTTCTTTTCATCCTCATCCTCATTTTCATCCTCTGTATTTATTATATTTTTAAAATTATTTTTTTCTTCCTTATTTTCTTTATCATTATATATATTAATCACTTCATTATAAATATTATTATTTTTTATTTCTTCTTTGTTATCATCTTCTTCATCTTCACTTATATTAATTATTTCTTTATGTTCACTATTATTTTTTTTTTCTTCTAATTCATTTAAATTTAACATTTTCTTATGTTTCTTTTTCTTTTTTTTCTTTTTTTTTTCTTTTTCTTTTTCTTCATCTATAGAACTCTGTGATTTAATACTTATTCTTTCCTCTTTTTCGAGAGGAACATTTTCATTTATTAAATTATTATTATAAATATTACTTACATTTTTGTAACTTAAATTTTTTAAATATTTACATGTGAAAATAGATTTATTTTTATTCTCAATATCGAAAAATCTAAAACAGTCGTTAGATCTAGAAAATATATCTTCAAGGGTTGATGAAATAATATGATAATTATTCTGTAAAATAGAAAAATTATTTTCACTACTAATTTTTAGAATATTTTTAGTTTTATCATTGCTACTATAAAGTAATAAATCAAAAATAATTTTTAATATATCATTTTTTAAATCTTTAATTTCTATATTATTTGTTATTATATCTAATTCATTTTTATATAAGCAATTAAGAGAAAGACGATTCGCTAGTTTCACAATTTGAATAACATTGTTTAATAACCTTTTCATTAAATAATTATTTTCATCATTTTCTGAATTAATATATATCATATCTTTTAATAACTCTTCAATTTTTTTACTACAGTGTTCCATTTCTTATTTCATATTTATTAGTATATTTTTATATTTTGAATAAAATTTATTTAATATATATATAAAATTCAATTATTTATTTTTTTCAAATTATTATTAATAATAACATAAAGAAAATTAAATATATATTAAACAAAAAAAAAAAAAAAAAAATAAAATAAAATAAAATGATTATATTAATATGAACATCTTTAAATAATTAAATAAATAGAACACTTATATATTTTTTAAAACAATAAAAAATAATAAACCACAATTCTCATATATTATTTACGAACAGAACATTAATTAAAAATAAAACTGTTTCTTTAAATGAATTAAAAAATAAAAGAAACAAAATATCTTATATATTAAAAAACAAATATATTTTATAATTAATATTTTTACAAGAAATTTTTGATTTTTTTTTTTTTTTTTTTTTTAAAAATAATTTCGAAAGAAATTTTAAAAATTAATTGAAATTTAAAAAATTTTTTTTTTTTTTTTTTTGTAAAATTAACAAAATTTTCTACAATTTCTTATAAATAGATAATTAATAAAATATAATGAAAAGTATCTTTGATTAATATTAAGCATAAATATATATTATTACTATTGTTGTAATATGTATATATAATTTATTTCGTATTTATTACTATAAAATTACGAATAAATTGATATTTACTATTTTTTTTTTTTATTTTGTATTTTTCTTATTTTAACATATGTAGTGGATAACTTCTTTATTATTATATTTTTATTTATTTCCATATGATATTTAATAAAATTAAATAATCACTTTAAATATATATATGTATATATATATATATGTTAAATTATGTATTCATAATTATTTTTAAGAATTAGATGATATTTTAAAAAACATGGATGATGTTATCATTGAAGAAAAAGATAATAATATTAAGAAAGATCAGTTAGAAAGTGGAAAATCAGACAATAAAAACTTACTTAATGAAATTCATGAAACAAGTGTACCTAAAAACTTAGTTTGTTTAATTTGTTACGATGATATTGATGAAAATAATTACATTGAATATAAAACAGATGAGTTTAGTAAATGGTATCCCAGCTTATTTTGTTTAAATTGCACAAATATTTTAATAAAAACACAATATCATCAATATATTAATAATGTTCAAAAATCTGAATGCTTAAGAGAACAAACAAATTTGTTACAAATGGGTCCACCTATAAATGTAAAAGATAAAAATGGTTTTCCTTTTTCAGATGGCAAAGAAATTTATAGTTTGTGGTTTTTTTCTGATAAGCAAATACATTCAGCAAAATTGGAAGGAAGTTTAGTTGGTGAAGAAAGAATCAAGGTGTGGAATGAATTAAAAAAATTTCTTATACATGATAAAACAAATTAGTTTTCATAAAAACAAATAAGTTTTAAGAAAAATTAAACTTTAAAATGAATAAAAAAAAAAAAAAAAAAAAAAAAAAAATACTTTAAAAAAGTTAATAAATTTATATCATACAATTGATATATCTTAATATAAGAAAAAAAAATATTAATATTGATAACAAAATTTGAAGGATTATATTTATTATTAAAGGGAACTTCATTTTTATATAAATAAAATTTTTCATGTTTTCCCTTTTTATAATTCAATAAATTTTATTAAAAATAATAAAAGATAAATTTTATTTGTACCATTTTATTTTAAATATTTCATTTCCTTTTTTTTTTTTTTTTTTTTTATACCTTCTAATATTTTCTACATTTTATTAAAAATAATAAAAACACTATTTTTTTTTAATTTTTTTTTTGTTAAAATATATTAACTTTTTTTTCCATAAAAAAAAAAGGTTATTTTATAATGATGATTTTATTTATATTTAAAAAGAAACCTTTTTTAAAAAGTTATAATTATGCTGTGTTATATATAAAGATTTTTTATAAATTATCGCAATTTACATCTAAGAAATATTTTTCTTCAAATAAAGCATACATGTCTTTTAAGTGATATTTTTTATTGGGAATTTTTAAAAGTTCTTTTATGTAATTTTTCATATTAATTTCATATTCATATCTAATTGTAGGTGTACAATAAAAACCATCAAGAGAATTTTCATCATACTGATCATTGTAAAAATCTATATAAGATAATTTTTTAGCATAAATTATATAATCCAATGGTTCTATAATTTCATTCATTAATATATTATTTTTAATATTTGTAAAAAGACTAGGAGTTGTTAAATTTTTTATTATTTCTTCTTTTGTTTTTAATGTTTTATGGCCAACATTTTCTAATTCAAATAATAAGTAATTTAATGGTATTTTATTATGGAAAACTTTAAAAAAAGGAATAAGAAATATTAAAAATCCTCTTATATTATGATCTAAATTAGATAATAAAAAATCATTATGTGGTTCATATAAAATGTTTTGTGATAATACATATTCATTTTTTGTTTTACTACTTAAAGTTAATAACTTCAGTGCTAAAATATCATTAACTTGTTTTTTTAAAAGTTTTAAAATTATTTTTTTTTTAAAGTTGTTATTACAATTAGGAACGTAAATATTAATAGTAGAGAATAAATCTTCTCTTTTGACTGGAAACGGCTGATTGTTTAATAAAAGTTGAAGAGCTATTTTTACCCCAATTTTAATATCATTGTCATTCTTAAAATTTTTAAATGCAGAAATTTTTCTTTTTTTATTTTTATCACAATTATTTAACAATTCTGAACAAATGGAGTAATCGGTGCTATTACTATCTTCATATGATATATTCTTTTCATTATCATTATTTTTATTTGTATGTAAGCTTGCATCAAATTTATCGTATAAATTTTCATCCATTTTTTCATTTATTTATTTTTATAAATTTTAACTTATATATCTTTATTCATCTTACAACTTTTTTTTAATTTTTTTTTTTTTTTATATATTTATACGTATATATATATATATATATATATATATATATATATATATAAATATATATAGATAAATATTTTTTTAAAACTCTGCTGAATTATTGCTATAATTAATACGGGTTTAAAAATATTTTTTTTTTTTTTTTTTGCAAGAAAACTTTACCTTGAATTTTAATAAAATAAAATATTACAAAAAAAAAAAGTATAAATTTTTTTAATATACTATTTTTTTTTTTTATTTCTTTAAAATTATGTTATTTAAAGAGTTATTTTATAAAAAAAAATTCCCTATAGTTAATAATTTTTTTTTTTTTTTTTTTTTTTTTTTT